AATTCTGAAACCATAGATGCAAGAAGGTGTCTCCAGTGTTATGTCGATTTGACGTGGGCCTAGCAGGATTCTTTATATGGGCAGCTTTATTTCCAGTATGTTTGACAAAAATAAATGTTGTTGTAGAAAACTTGTTCATAGCTAGTTATTTTTTCAGAAATATTTTGTAATGTTGAATCAGTTAGTAGACCATTGAGTGTTTTAATTAGGATTTCTGATTCCTCTTCGAAAATCATTTTTAACTTTTTATCCAAGCATTCTGCATTGCCACAAATAAGGCTTTTGCCTCAGCAACCAGACTGGAGTGGGCGAGATCCAAGTTAGCTGATCTCCACGTATAAAAATAACAATAACTGTTCTGAATGATCCATGCACCTCGTACTTGGTTCGTTTGTAAATCATATGCTGCATCGTAATTACATTTTAGAAAACTATGATCTAGACATTTTCATGTCGTTGAAGCAAAGAAGCTGAAACCGTGCATGTGTTTCCTACAATAGGAGATGAAAACTATAAATGTGATATCCATTCTCTAACGTTAGGCCGCCAGCGCAAAACATTGTCCACTGTAACGTTAGAAGGTTATATTTGTTTCCTAAATAATAAGAAATTTCTCTTTTTTCATATACGCCACAGCAACCAAATAGGTAATAAATTTGGATAAAGCGATTGTACGCTTTGAATTTGTAGAAGAAATCCAATTTTATTGTCCATAGAATCACTTGATAATAATTGAGACGTGAATGGCAGATTTGAAACTCTCCAAATATATAGTGAATCTGGACAAGTAAAAAAACAATGGTCGATTGTCTCTCCAGCCAACCACATCTCTGACAAATGGGATCTAAATGCATTCCACTTGAGTTTAATCTTGTAGTTGTTTCAATGGTCTTAGACATAATACGCCAAGCGAAATGTTTAAGTTTGGGCATTATGTTTAATTTCCAAACTTTAATTATCCTTTAGAATGGGGTCACCATAAGGAATTGGAGGAGCCTCCATCAAAATCTCTGGGGCATTCCTAGCAATCTTATAACCAGAAGATACTGTGTAGTTTCCATCACTTGTATGACTCCAAATCAACTTATCTCCTTTGTTTGTTTGGTTTAAATATATCTTGTCTACTAATCGTTGATCTTGCCACATAAGTAAGAATTTAAAGCCACCGGATTCCAATGTTTGTAAGGTGAGGTTGTAATCAGATCACTAACACGTAAATCACAATTTAATGTTGTAGAGGTAGGCCGAGGTGGGTTAACCGGTAACCAATTATCTTTGAAAACTCGTATAACTTTGCCATCTCCCATAATATAGCTACATCCTTTCTTTAAAATCTCAATACCAACCAATAAAGATATCCATCCATATGATTGATTGCCACATGTCTTTCCTTATAGAAGTTGTTTTCCTTTAAGATATCGTGCTTTATACAGTTTGGAAAAGAGGCAATTTGATTTTGAGTAGATCCACCATGCTTGTTTTGCAAGTAGAGCATCATTAAATTTTGGTAAATCTTTTAATCCAAGATCTCCTTTTTTCTTTGTATGCTCTAGTTTTTTCCAAGCTATCTAAGATAAGTCTTTAAGGTTGTTTTTACCCTACCAGAATCGCATTAAGATGGTATCTATCTCTTGTGTTGTTGCAATAGGAGGTTTAAAGTGTAACATAGAATAGATAGGGGTATCGGTCCCCCTTCAGCGCAAAACGTTGACATGACTGTCTCCGACCTTATATTACCAGATTCAGGAGAATGGAACATCCCTTTGATAAGGAACAATCTACCTCAGTATGAGGAATCTATCCGCTTATTGGTGCCTAGTGAGCTGGGAATGGAAGACATGCTTGCCTGGCTTCCAGAAAAGAATGGAGAATACTCAACAAAATCTGGGTATGCTCTATCTAAACTTAATGTCGAACCAGTGGTGAACCCTGGGTTACAATGGAACCAGTGTATCTGGAAAGCTAAAACATCCCCAAAATTGAAGAATTTTCTATGGAAAGTGGGAAATAGAGCGCTACCGGTTGGTGCTAATCTTCTGGCCCGCGGATTAGAAGTGGATGGCTCATGTAAGAGATGCGGAGCAACTGAAACTGAGCTACATGTGCTCCTTCATTGCCCCTTTGCAGCTCGCGTGTGGGAACTTGTTCCAGCTTCTAACTCCCCGACTATTATAAGTGTGACTACAATACCTCAGTTCCTCCAATCCTCGCTCCTCCTTGTCAACTTACCTCCAACGGGACTAAACAGTACTCATATCCTTCCTTGGATTGCTTGGAGCCTATGGACGGCTAGGAACAAATTGATTTTTGATGACAAGTTGTTCTCGGAGCAGGAGGTTGTCCTAAAAGCTCTTGTGGAGGCACGGGCGTGGCAAGCTGCCCAAGATGATAGCACCAAACCGCTTAAGACCAAACCCAACCTTTATGCTCCCCCTGTGATTAATAGTAAAAGTATCACCTGTTTTGTGGATGCTGCTTGGCGTGCAGGAACTAGAGATGCTGGATTTGGGTGGTGCTTTCTTGGTGCAAGCGGGTTTCCTACGCGGAATCATTTTACAAACCGACGTGATGTGGCTTCTGCTCTGATGGCAGAGGCTCTTGCGGTTAAAACTGCTCTGTTTGAAGCAGTTCTTCTGGGCTTTGGAAATCTGATTGTGAAATCGGATTCTAAGACTCTCATTGATACTCTTAATATCAATGGTCGGTACACTGAACTCCAGGGAGTTGTTCATGACATTCTTGTGTTATGTAAGTCCTTTGAGTCTGTATCTTTTATCCATGTTTCAAGGCTTTGTAATAAGGAGGCTGACTCCTTGGCGAAACAAGGCCTTGCTTCTCTTTCTCCATGGCCGTTGGTGGCAGGTCTTATGTAAACACTTTGAAGTTTAAGTAATATTTAAGGTTTGGTCAAAAAAAAAGAATAGATAGGGGTTGACACTGCAGCAGATTTGATTATAACCTCTTTGCCAGCTGGTGAAAGATATTTAGTACTCCAATGAAATGTTTTCTGTTTAACACGTTGAACAACTGTACTAAACAGTAAGAGGAGGATTATACTAGTACGTTTCCTAACTGTAGTAGCGGTGATTTGATCAAAGTTTATATTATTAATTTTGGTCTTGACGATAATTTTATTAATTTGTTTCTGAATTTTTTTACACATGTCGGAATTTAAGCAGTCTTATATAATTTTCATTTTTACTAATGTATGATAACTTTTTAGCAAAAATGTACTCCGTATGGTATATACTAAACATAATTCTAGTGTTTTTTCAATTTAAAATAAAAACTTGTTTATACTATTTTATTTTTAATTATCATAATAATTTTGTTATATATGAATTTTTAATTTGTGAAAAATAAACGTGATAATTTTTTTTTTATTAAACAATTTTATTGAGCTATAAATTATGAATGATTCGGGTCTTTCTTAAAGCTGAAATAGTAAGCTATCTAATAAATTCTGGTTAATTTTTAGTAAGCCTAACAACATCAAAAGGCCGAATCATACCGATGAAGCATCAAAATCACTTGACGATTCCAACTAGTAACACCAGTATTTGATATTTTAATTATTTAGTTAAACCGTAAATTACTCTATCAAACAAATAATTAAGGTTGACTTGTAAATATTTTTGATTTTCCGGTGAGAGACTTAAAAGATATAAAATTAAAAATTAATCCAAAGGTAGTGGCTTGCATGTACCATTGAGTATCATTCACGTAACTGCATTCACTATATATGCCAGATCACTAAACTTCTAACCGTTGGTCACCACTTTAAGGAGTAATCCAACGGTACCAGTTAATTGACTTTCTTAATCGTATGAGCCGCTGGCACGTAGTCCCAAGTCAACGTTGATAAAATGAAAATAAATTAGGTCCAAAATAATACTATAATAATTTGATGATATGGGACCCATATGCTATATAATAGATCTTAGTTAATTTTCTACTAATCTTTCCCGCCATATTTTAATTTTAAGGAAACATGATGTAAATAATTATATTTATGCGTATACACATTTCTATAATTATGAAAAAAATCTAAAGCCAAGTTAATAGGACTTACTCATTAAAGGAAAATTTCAAGAAGGAAAAAAAACAAAGCAGAGGCAGTTTTGTGGGGAAAATTTGTTAAAATAAGAAATAGAAAATAGGGAAAAAAGATTCTCAAAGAGAGAGAAGAAGAGAAAGTAAAGCGGGAGAAAGGAGAGAGAACCCACCACCCTTTGGCCCTGGAGAGACCAAAGATGGTCGAAGAGAGAAAACTCTGAGATCATCATCATCATCCTGCAAAAACAAGGGCAAGTTCAACAAGAAATCATAAAATATAATTCAATATCTATTAAATTAAATCCTACCTGTTTTAAAGTTTTTTTTTACAACAAGGGATATTTTTAGTTGTTGATTTCTCAAACCCTACCCATTTCTTGGGTAAGAAGTTTCTTTAAGGTAAATTTTGCTTTCCGGATTATTTGTTTGATCTTTTTGCATACGTAAACTGTAAAGTTTTTGGACCTTTTTTTGTTTGTGGGTTCCATGTTTTCTTCACATTGCTTCTTCAACAGGGTTATTCTTATTCCTTTTTCCTAAAGTAATTATTGTTTCATATTTTTTGTTCAAATTTTTGTTCTTGTTGCTTTTTTCCAGGTACTTAAAAAAAAAAAGATTAACGAGAAGAAGAGAATTTCCTGAGTTGTTGATGATTAGGGTTTTGTGCAATCCATTTTGTAAACAATGAGAGACCCTCATTATTCAATCATCAACCTTGTTGTTCTCCTCTTGCCGAGGATTCTGTAAAGTTTGAATATTTTTTTTATTCCTTTATTTGTTGATTAGGAAAAAAAAAATCTGGCTATTTTGTATAGCCTTGGTGTATACCTAAAATGGGTTGTCGATGGAATCCAATTGGATTCCAGTTCTCTTGCTTCATGTTCTTCATCATTACCCTTCAGTCTCGTTCCTCATTATCCCTCAATTCCGAAGGTATAACAATTAACAACTTTCTTCAATCTTCTTTTGGATGTTTAATTATTGAAAGGTTTTTCTAATTTTGTAGGATTTGTGCTGTTGAAATTCCGAGCAAGAGTTGACTCTGATCCTCATGGAACTCTTGCGAATTGGAATGTCTCTGATGATCATCTTTGTTCTTGGTTTGGTGTTACATGTGTCGACAATAAAGTCCAGATGGTGTAAGCTCTCTTTTTTTTCTATTCTATGTCTTTATGATTCTTTATGGCAAAGTCTTGATGAATATATCGGTTTTGTTTTGTAGGAATCTTAGTGGATGTTCTTTGGGAGGAACGTTAGCTCCTGAGCTTAGTCAAATGAGTGAATTAAGATCCCTGTAAGGGTTTCTTAACTTATCTTATTGCTCTGTTTCTTAAAAAAAAAAAAAAACAAGAACTCAAAACCAATTCTTGATTTTTTGTGTGTAGGATACTAAGCAAGAACAAATTCTCTGGTGATATTCCAAATGAATTTGGGACTTTCCCAAAACTGAAGTTGTTGGATCTACGAGATAACAAGTTAAGTGGGGCAGTTCCACCGGAGCTAAACAAAATGTTGTCACCAGAGAACTTGTGAGTAAAAAGGCTTGTGATGCTATTTTTAATAAACCCAAATAAATATGTTGACTAAAGAAAAATGTTTGCGTTTTGGTGGGTTTAGGTTGCTTTCTGGTAACAAATTTGCTGGTTTTATGAAAACAAAGTTCCTGAAACTTCAATCGCTATATAAAGTCCAGTTAAACAAGCATCGAGAGCTGTCTTCTGCTTCGAGTCCTATCTTCGACTGCGTAAATAGAAAACTTGGATGCTGGTAAATCACTTTTTTGCATTAAGATGGTGAAAACTTTGAACAATGTTCTTACATTTTTGTATCCATTTAACAGTGTTTCAAGAAGAAGGTTGTTAAGACTAAACAAAGCACAAGCTTTCGCATTGCGAATTAAATCAACTTCAAGAATGTACATAACAATCATTCTCTTTTGTCAAAACTCATTTTGGTGATATTTTTATTTTTTATCCTTAGTATTTATGTCTCTTCAGGCTGCGAAATGAACCTCAAGAGAAGAACTATGTCACGAATTATCACCCAAGTAAGCACATAAAAAAAAAACGATTGAAACTTATGCGGTTGAAACGTATACAAACTTACATAGTGTTTTTTGTTTGTAGATTCTTTACAGAATGAAAGTAGTGTCCTCAAGAGGCGTGAGTTACTAGAGGGAACAAGTAATTTAGCAGCTATGCCTGCCCCTGATGCTCCTAGTCCTTCTCCTGAGACTATAACCAATGTGTTTCCTCGAAGCAGCGGGTCTTTTCCCGCGTTAACTACTGCAAAGAAGAGGATACCTCCATTGATCTCTCCTTCTCTTCCTCCAACAGCTGAGAACAACAACAACAACACAAGCGCTGATCCTCCAAGGCAATTTGAAGAAGAAACAAAAGGGTCTACTGCTGTTTGGTTGTATGTTGTTATCGGCGTTGCTGTTTTTATAGCGGTGTTGATAGTAATAGGGTTTATATTCTTCTGCCGGAAAAGAGCTGTCAAGAGTATAGGTCCATGGAAAACTGGTTTAAGTGGACAGTTACAGAAAGCTTTTGTAACTGGTAAGAAAAAATGGTCTTAAAACTTTTTATTTGGCTTTTATTTTAGATTTAACATAATGTGAGAATTAATGTATTTTTTTTTTCAGGTGTACCTAAGCTAAAGCGGGCTGAACTAGAAACAGCTTGTGAAGATTTCAGTAATATAATTGAAGCATTTGATGGTTACACTGTCTATAAAGGAACATTGTCAAGTGGTGTTGAGATTGCTGTTGCTTCAACCGCTGTTTTGGAAACTAGAGAATGGACAAGAGCTATGGAAATGACTTACCGCAGAAAGGTAACTCTAAATAGTCATTTCTTTCGCATTTTTGAGAATATATTGAATTGATTTTTGGAGAGCTCAATTTTTCAGATTGATACAATGTCAAGAGTCAACCATAAGAACTTTGTCAATCTAATTGGATACTGTGAAGAAGCTGAACCATTTAATAGGATGATGGTTTTTGAATATGCTCCAAATGGAACTCTCTTCGAACATCTGCACGGTAATAAAACATCTTAAATTGTCTTCATATCAAGATCTTTAATTATTAGCTTATTATTATCATCTTGTTCAGATAAGGAAATGGAGCATCTTGATTGGAGCGCGAGGATGAGGATAATAATGGGAACTGCTTACTGTCTTCAATATATGCACGAGCTTAATCCACCACTTGCTCACTCTAAACTTGTCTCATCAAGAATCTACTTAACCGATGATTACGCAGCAAAGGTTACTTGCTTTACAAGAAAACTGTTTTGATGGTTCTTCCTTTCTTGCATGACAAGAAAACTATTTCAGTGGTTGTATTGAATGATAAAGTAATAAATGATTTTTTGTTTTGCAGGTCGGAGAGGTTGCTTTCAGTTCACAAACCGGGCTTAAATCTAGAAAACCAATGAGTGGTGATTTAGACCAATCTTCATTGCCATTACCAGCTGAACCAGAGACTAATGTCTATAGCTTTGGAGTATTAATGCTTGAGATTATCTCTGGAAGGCTCTCAGATTCAGATGAAGAAGGATCAATTCTGAAATGGGTAATACTCAAAATCAAAATTCAAAACAATGTTCCTGAGATTGAGATTTACATTACCTAACGTAACATTTTTGATGTTTTCTCATAGGCATCAAAGTATTTGGAGACTGATCATTTGAAAGATATGATTGATCCTACATTAACAACGTTTAAAGAAGAGGACCTTGAAGTGATATGTGACGTGGCAAGGCATTGTCTGAGAATTGACCAAAGTCAACGACCAACAATGAAAGATGTTGTTGAGCAACTGAAACAAGTAATCAACATTTCTCCAGAACAAGCTACACCGAGACTCTCTCCTCTTTGGTGGGCAGAACTTGAGATCTTATCCTCTGAAGCTACTTAACCAGAAATACGATTCTCTCTCCTCCTCTCTCTCTCAGTCTTTGAATTGTCACACGTGTCAGAGGTTCACGCTCTTTCTCTTCTCTCTCTCTTCACGGTGGACATCGTTGTTTTAAAAATGTTAAAAAGTTGTTGTTTTCTTTAATTCACCATATTAAATTTGTTTCTTGGTTGGTTTTGATAGTGTATTTGGATCCAGATGATATAACGATGAGTTTGTATAATTGTATACTATCACACATTTGCCTGTTGTATGTATATTTGAACCTAATTTATGGTGAAAAGTTGTTTGTAACTATATTAACTTCGGCTTTATAAAACTATTATGTGTGTTGACAAAAAGAAAAAAGACCATTATGTAATATTTTCTCATTTGTATGTCAAATTTCTTTTTTTTCTTATAATATAAAAACTTTTAAATCTTATTACAATGCTTTTATTGTCAAATCTTTTTATTCTTCCTTTTTCGGTGTTATTAAGAGATGGTTTTAAAAGACTTTTTATTCTTCCTTTTTCGGTGTTATTAAGAGATAGTTTTACTTTTAAAACCATTTCCAATAGAATATCTATCCATTGAAATTCTACAAAGATATATATATATATATATATATATATATATATATATATATATATATAGATGTGAGATTCATTAAATAGTGTAGAATCGGTTTTAAAAGTTTTGTTTTAGAACCTGTTTTACACTATTTAATAAACCCCACATCTATAACATATATATATATATTTAGAACTTCAATGGATAGATATCCAATTAAAGGTGTAAATGGTTTGTTCAATGGAACTTAATAAGAACAGGTGCGTTAAGATATGTTATGTTGTTACAAAAGAAATTTCACTGTATAAACTCTCATTCCAATAAAACATCTACACAGTTCAACTGATCACCACATACCTGACGGATCCCTAGCAATCACGGGCATACAAAAAGATGCTAAGATCAAACAAAAAGACCTTTACACACAAGAATGGATAACCACATAGGTAACCCAACAGCCACATAAGAAAATGCTCTCTCACTAATTAGTCATTTAAAAAAACTGAACTTATTAGTCATTTAGTTTTCTTAGTGAATACTACTATATGATATTTACCTTCTTTTTGGTTTGCCGATTTGTGATACTTTCATGTGACACGGAGTCGAACTTCGGTGTCATATCACCTGATTACTGCGGCAACACCGCTCATGTAGTGTTGGTATGGGACAGATGGGATATCTGGGGTATTTTGAGATATCCGGATCTGAATTCGACAGATTCAAAAATTGATATTCGGATTCAGATTTGGACCTTCCGAATATCCAGGATCCGGATATACATACTAAAACTCGAATATCTGCAGATATCCGGATCGTTTTTTTAAAAAATTAAAATTAAATTAAAATTTAAAATTAAGTGTTTATTTATTTTGATAAAAAATATTATTTTTCAAAAGATGAAAATAATAGAATTTAATAATAATTTAAGTTTTTCTTATTTTAAATAAAAAATATATAATTTACCTATATAAATATAATTATATTGTAAATATTTTTAAATATTTAGTGGGGTTGGATCCGAATATCCTGACTAAAAATTTCACTATCCAGATTCATAAAATCACTATCCGGATCCGGACCCGGATCTCTTGGATATCCATTTTTTCGGAGTAGATCGGAGCGGATGCCGGATCGGATAGCGGATATCTACTATATTAAGTCATACTCCTAAGTGTTGGCGACATTTAGTAAATAATTAAAATTACTAGTTGCATACTCCCCGCGCAAGCGCGGGGCCGGAATCATTATGTTTGCGTATATTTTTTTCGATTTAGTGGTTTAGTGGATTCTTCTAATGACACTAAATAATAATGAAATGGAAAGAATGTAGTAAGAGTGTAAAGTGAAAATATTGTATATCTAATGTGTTAAATGTTATTTATATGCGAAGTAAGGTTTATAGGAATACTTAGGCTATAATATAGTTTTAAGTGTGTAAAAGTAGGTGTCTATTATTTTTTTTACTGTAAATAGTTTTTATATCGTCTGTCAAAACTTGATATAATTCTATATTTATTATCTATATTTGTATTAAACGATTTATCAATTTGAAAATAACCTTAATTAAGTTAATATTCGTTGTTTAAGTTTCATTAGATAGGTTTTTATATATGGTTTTTTGTAAGTTTGGGTTTTGTTCATAAATGATGTGGCATTTTTATCTACGGCGTCATCGACTGTGGGAATCCATTCACCGAAGTCTAGAGTCGGTGGTGAGGAATGTTTTCAATGAAATTATAGTAGTTATTAAAATGTAAGAGAAATTACATATTCATTTAATAAATAACGAAAAATACTTAAATTTTGTTGTTTATTTATTTTTTTTTTTGACCAAAAAAAAATTTTGTTGTTTATTTTATTTTATTTCACATACAAATTTTTTGAAAATATACTAGGAATGAGTTAAACGTTATTTATATGCGAAGCAAGGTTTATAGGAATAGTTAGGCTATAATATAGTTTTTAGTGTGTAAAAGTAGGTGTGTGTTTTTGCTGTAAATAGTTTTTATATCGTAGGTCAAAAGTTGATATAATTCTATATTTATAGTATTTATATTTGTATTAAACGATTTATCAATTTGAAAATAACCTTAATTAAGTTAACATTCGTTGTTAAGTTTCATTAGATAGGTTTTTATATATGGTTTTTGTAAGTTTGAGTTTTGTTTATAAATGATGTGGCATTTTTATTTACGGCGTCATTGACTGTGGGAATCCATTCGCCGGAGTATGAAATAGGTGGTGAGGAATGTTTTCAATGAAATTATAGTAGTTATTAAAATGTAAGAGAAATTACATATTCATTAAATAAATAACGAAAATAATTAATTTTTGTTGTTTTTTTTATTTTATCTCACATTCAATTTTTTGAAAATATATATTAGGAAATATATGCAATGATTTCACTTTTTAAGCTCTTAATCTATATTATTCAAGCCTCATTAAGCCATCCACGTAGGTAGCCGCATGTGATTTACTTTTTTTTCTTTTGGTCGGTTTGGATTCATTTTTAATTATTTTTGGGTTGAACTATATTATAATAGGATAGTTTTAAGGCTCTTTAAGCCATCCGCGTAGGCAATCGCTTGAGACTTGCTTTTTTTTTTATTGTTCGTTTTTGCATCCATTTTTAACTATTTTTGGTTTGAACTCGTTAAGCTTTAGGGTTTATCCAACTATTTTGATCCTTAAAACAATAAGCCATAAAAAAAAAACATAAAAACCTAACAAACAAAAAGCCCATATGATAATAACCCAAATAAAAAAATTAAAAATAAATGATGACTGCATGGTTTGAACCCACGTTCTTGCATGATTAATTAGACACCTTATACCACTTGGCTAGAGTGTATTTCATTGTTTGTAATCATCTTACCAAGACTATAAGTTTTTAAAAATACTTACGGGACCCACAAAGTTGTTGACGTGGCGCGTTGTGGAGTCTAGAAAGTCTACTATTATAATATAGATTATCATTGACATTAACTATAATAAATTAGAATGGACGTGTTTACCTTATTACTAAAATAATTAAATATCCAACGACCCTCATAGCGATCGAGGAAAGAATAGAATGAAGAAAGTTGGTAATCCATCTTTTTTTTTATAACTTTCATTTAAATTTCAAATGGATCTTAAAGAAAATAAAGTTAATTATCTCGCATTTTTTCAAAAAAGAAAAAATCAAACGGGGTAAAAAGATCACATACGCATGCATATAACAAATCGTTGTTCATGCCTCGAGGCTTTTTTAAAAATATTGTTGTTCATAACCTGAGCCAACAGGCAGCGTCACAGATAGAAGACGACAAGCGTTACGTATTCTTGTTTTTAAGTGAAACGCATACCACGTGGCAATATTCCGCATACGTGTCTAGATTCGCCGCATTTTATATAGAACCAGCAGGGCCGGCCCTGGGCAATGCCTAGTGAAACATTTGTTTCAGGCCCCCAAAAATTTTGTAGAAAATTACATGAGCATAGGCCCCCAAAAAAAATTTTAGGCCCCCAAAAAGTTTTTTTACTTAGAAATCGCCACGGGCCCCCAAAATCTCAGGGCCGGTCCTGAGAACCAGTTATATCGCTCAGAAAGATATAGTATGCTTTTTTTTTGAGAAAGAGAAAATACTTATGTTAAGAAAATGAAACCCGTCTCTCAAGTTTTCCATAATATCATGCCGCTTTCATTTTATGCATATTATGTTATAATTATACTAGTTAAAATTCATAATAGGACTCGTTCAACATACTACACTTTTTTATCCACGAATTTAACTTTTATTCTACACTTATCTTTCAGAAAAAAACATGTTTTTTTTTTTAGAAAAAAACATGTTGTATTTCTACTTAAAATCTCTCTCCCTCTGAAAAAGGAATCTCTCGACCAAAACTTTGAAAATATTGATTTAGAAACTCAAATATGAGATAATAGATTAATGTGATTCTCAAAATAAATATTTATATCTAAAAGAACATCTTAAAGTTTCTACAATCCCATTTATTTTTTATTTTTTTATTAGTTTAAGAAGTATATTAGATCTATGTAGAAGTCCACACTAATTTTTCAAAAAAAAATGCAGTTCACGAATAAAATTTTTAAGATTGAAGGTTTTGAATCCTATTTATTTGTACAACGAGATAATAAATTAATGTGATTTTCAGAATAAATATTTATATCCAAAACAATATGTTAAAATTTTCTACAATCCCATTTATTTTTACTGAAAACAATCTGATTTACTCTAAATATAGTACTTTATAATAAATCGTTATTAGAGAATATTCTACAAAAGATATTTAAAATGAAAATGATATATATCTCCTAAAACTTAATTTCCTCATTGAAGAGGTAAAGTTGCCACGTGGACACCATTCTGAATTTCTGGTCCCTGAACTAATTTGCATGTTTCTTTCTGGCATAAGTATTAAATTTAGAACCTACAAGAACCATAACGTGTGGTTTTATCATATGTATGAACAATCTTGTTTTTGTTTTCTTCGGGCTTATGTAATTTATATATTCTTGTTTTCGAGTCGAGTGTGTCGGCTTCCATTACTTAGATGAAAGGGTTTTCATTTTTCATATTTTCCCCATGAAAGTATGCAGCCAAATTTAATCAAAGTAATGGCAAATTAGCTATTCTCGGAGTGACAAGTTGCATTCTCTGTTAATCCTACACGTAGTGCATGCATGCATTATTTTCTTTCCTTTCCCGGAAAAGCAAGTATTATCTTCCAACTTCCAGTACTGATACTCGTTAACAAAACGTGCCTAAATAATCTTTTTGTGTCAAGTTGTTTACTTTTGAAGTCAATTTTTTTTCAGCTTTACCGTCTTCTTTTAGAACGTTATAATAGTTAAACTGATTTAGTCTACATACATCAATTTCACCGGATTAGAAATTTGACCCATTAATATACTATTTTATACAATATGTTTTAATTAGAGAAAATGGCATTGTTGCATTATTTTAGAATTAGCGTACTATATATAACCCCTCGAACTGGAAACATAAAGACACAGACACCCACTGAAAACGTGAGCAGTAATATTATTTGTAATACAAATAAAAAAAATGGAGGAAAAAGGGAAGAACATCCCACAAGCTCAAGAAAGTTGTTATCAAGGGTGGATGAGTTTACAATCCCGACGTGTACCTGAGCTCAAACAAGCCTTAGCTCAACGACGATCTCACGAAGGCACCGCCGACGCTGCCGCCGATGATAAGAAGCTCCGTGAATTAACACAAAACATCATTGAAGATTTCAAAAATTACGCCAGAAAAAGAGCTGATCTTTCACATCGAGGTAGCTCGAACTATTATGCGCCATCGTGGAACACTCCTCTGGAGAATATGCTGATTTGGTTGGGTGGTTGCAGACCATCTTCTTTCTTTAGGCTTGTTTATGCTCTGTGTGGGTCCCAAACTGAGATCCGCGTGACTCAGTTTCTCCGCAACATCGACGGTTATGATACTTCAGGTAAGGGTTTTGACATTTTCAGTTATTTTTTACTTATGTTTGGTTTTAGTTTCAGTTTAAGAATTTTGTTTGTTGGTTCAACAATTCTAGCCCATCTTTAATGTTTTTTTTTTAAAAAATTTAACAATCAATAAGATGACAGTTACTTTAACATATTTCTCTAAAATAGTAATTATTACATACAAAATAAAAATAAATGTATGTTAAGAGAAAAAAAATGAATATTAAATGAGAAAAGAGTATTTTTTTTTTTTTAAAAACAAATGTGGCTTAGCTATTATAGAAACAAATATTAGAATTTGTTTTTTGTTAATTTGGATTGGTTCAACAGGTTGCGGTGGTGCATCGCTTAGCGATCTAACGGCGGAGCAGCTGGCTAAGATCAACGTGTTGCATGTCAAGATCATAGATGAAGAAGAGAAGATGACCAAGAAAGTCTCCAGCCTGCAAGAGGACGCGGCAGATATTCCCATCTCCACCGTGGCTTACGCGGAGGAGCACGTGGGAGAGCCTAACGCGGCGGTGGATCAAGCTCTCGACAAGCAAGAAGATGCCATGTCCACTTTATTGGCGGAGGCCGATAATCTGAGGGTACATACTTTAAGTAAGATCATAGAAACACTGACGCCATTGCAAGCGGCAGATTTTCTGGTGGCAGCAAAGAAACTTCATCTTTCAATGCATCAGTGGGGAGCGGCAAGGGATCGCCGCCGTCGTGAATGTATCATTGATAACGTAGATGATGCCGGAGGAAAGGAGGAGAAGTAGAGATAATATATATTATAGGTACGTACGTGTCAGATTATGAAGCTGCATAAAAGCAAGATTTATAATCTTGCTATTCACTACAAGAAAAGGAAGTGGTATCCGAGGGCCATATTAAACGGAAGTTTGTCGGGAATATGCGTTACCGATGGTTTCCCGAGGATTAAAATTTCGTCGGCGTTTGGGTCTCGGAAATACTCATTTCTCGGAAATTTCTCGATAAGTTCCGATAGCAATTGTTGTCGGAAATATTTAACGGAAAACCATCGGAACAT